GCTTGAGGGGTGGAGGGGGGGGTGCAGCGGGCGGTGGGGGGGGTAATTACAAGCATAAAGACATCATATTATGACACTAAAGTCATAATATTAGTAGGATAAAGCCTTATTATTACCAGAAGAAAGAAATAAAATTAGTAGAGTGTTGCTTTGATTCTTTCCTGCATATTTGGGAAATGCTTTCATCTCCATGGCAACCATTCAACTGTGCAAAACACCCGCTTGGACCTAGCACTGCCTTCAAGACACAGCTCCTCCTCTGAGCTGCAGTTCACAAGCTAACGAGCTTCAGCCTCACAGACTCCCCCACTCAGCTCCTTCAGACTAGCCAACAGCAATTAGTACCTGCTGGAACTGCGCATCAGCTGAGCTCATTATACAAGCTACTTCTCAATGCAACACTGGTAAAAATGTTAATAGAGGAAAAATACTATTAGATAATAGCATCATTATATCACCCTTCTGCTTCAACTTCCTCCTGTTTCTTTGCTGTTTTTGCTTCATTTTTGTTACACATTTTAACATTTCCTTCTCCTCTATATTTGACTGTATCTTCACTCTCCATCTGCATGCCTGTCTTTCCTCTCCAGAGCTCTGGGCAGCAGATTCCTGTGGTGGTTGAGAGCTGCATTCGTTTCATAAATCTCCATGGTGAGTCAGTTTTTCTGGTACAGCAGGCAGACAGAGAGAGAGAAAGAGCTTTGGATGATGGGGTTCATGAGTAGGTGGAACTGCTCTTAGCTTGGCTTGTCCGTCCAGACCTTTAGCTTCAGTGAATATAGACTTTGATGTCAGGGTGTGTGTTGCAGGCCTCCACCATGAAGGTATTTTCAGAGTGCCTGGTTCCCAGAGGGAGGTGAACCTCATCAGAGATGCATTTGAGAGAGGTAAGTGATCCAACCAGTCCACCACAGGACAACAAACAGACACACAGTAAACAACCGTGCACACATTTATACCAAAGGGCAATGTAGAGAGACCGGTTATCCTAACGCTCATGCTTTTGGACCATGGAAGGAAGTTAAGGAACCCTAAGAGAACCGACGTATGCACAGGGAAAGCATGGAAACTCCATGCAGAAAGACCCCAGGCTGGGACTTCTTCTTGCATTGACATAGAACCTTGCAAAATATTTTATACACATTGAACTTTTTCACTTTTTGTCAAACAGCAACCACAAACGGGTATTTTATCGAGATTTAGTGTGATAGACCAAACATAAAGAAGCACATAATTGTGAACCTTTTGCATTCACTTAGCCAGAATTGTAGATTAAGGGAGCATTCACAGAAAGTTTGGTTCACCAGGGGAGGTGTGAATGTGTAATCGAATTGTGATGCAGACCAAAAAAGCAAACTCTGGTCAGCCTAAAGACCTAGGTTTGGTTTGGGTTGAAGGGAACGCTGGTGAGGTTTGAATGCTTATGAGGATGCAAGCGAACCGGAGATCGCTCCAAAAGTAGGAAGTGGACTATAGTTCAGAGCATTCTGGGTAAGTACAACCAAAACAGATAGGTCTAGTCTAGCGCTAGCAGGAGAAATGGCTTGTGACCTTTTGCCAGAGAAAAGATTACAAGCCGCTACAATCTGACGTCACTCCATTTTTGTTTGTAAAGAAGGAAGTTGTGCGCAGTGCCTTTATTAGGGCTTTCTGTGTGGTTTACTAGAGTGGTTTTTGGTGCAGCGCCACCACAGACGAAGAGGAGAACAAGTTTTTCAAAGAGTTTGGTTTGTTTGACACAGTGCAGTGTGAAAGTGAACCACACCAGCTGAAAATGTATGTAACAAATGTTGCAACTTTGGTACCCAATCAAATTGAGTCCACAGGACTGTCAGGTGTGAAAACTCTCTTAGACTGACTTCTTTGCTTAATAACTCAAGCCCGCTTGAGAATGTCTCTGAAAAGCAATGTTTAAGTCCTGTCACTAAATTAACTCCCAATATATTTAGCTCTGGACTTTGAATAATTCTAACACATGAATCTACTTTTAATTAAACTTACCACATTGAAGCTTTGGCTGTGTGTTTAGTACTGTTGCCCTTCAAATTTCACCATATACTCTTATTGCTCCACAATTATGTTCTACTTTAAATTTATTGTTGCAGCTTAACAAAATGTGGCATAAGGGCTATAAATTTACCAGCACCATATATTATTTTTAAGCCTAGTCCACACATAGCAGGATATCTGGGAAAATGAACACATTTTTATGTGGGTTGGTCTTTGATCAACATGGAAAGTCTGTTTAATATTAGTAAAAACATTTATTTATGAAGAAATCCTCAGATTTGAGCTTAGATTTGAGAAAACTCCATATTTGTGTTGCCGTGTGTACATGAGAAAACAGAGATTTAGGGTCTCTGATTACTGTCTGTGACAAATAATATGCCAACATATCCACATACTTGCTTTGACATGACTCCCAATTGGCATAGTCTTGTGTTTCATTAACTTTGTATTCTGATACAATATTCAAAAGTAGTTCAACCAATGCATCTGTCCACACAGATAAACCCCCATGGTGCCAAGTCATGGTTGTTTTGAAGCAATCTGATTGGCTGACGTAGGTTTTAGCTTTGCGCTACACTGCCCACTATGGGTTTGGTATGTTCAAAACAACACACAGTCATGTATTTGTGCTGGTTCATGTAGATGGAAACTTTTCTGAAACCGATCCCCTTGTCTGCAGTATTATTTTTTTCAAACGATGTGGTGGAGACATTCGATTTTATAACGACTTTCAAAGCCCATACATGTTTCCAGGCCTCGGTCACATCGTAGAAGTGAGCTGGTTTTTAGACTTGTTTAGGCTTTCTTGTCATAACGAGCAATCTTTTTTTCCCATGCACTTCTAATTTCCTGCAGGGGAGGATCCTCTGTCAGACAGTGAGTGTGACCTGGACTCTGTGGCTGGCGTGCTGAAGCTGTACTTCAGGGGGCTTGAGCCTCCTCTGTTCCCCTACGAAAGCTACTCTCCGCTGCTGGAATGTGTCCGTAAGATGCCTTTGTGACCTCAGTGTCTTTGTTTTGGTGGTACCTGTTTTAAAACCACCCAACAGCTTGCACTCACAGATATCTACTTTCAAAGCCCATACAGTCGTGATACAAAAACTTTGTTCTTGAGCTGAATATTACCTACATTTTTTTAAGTGACCATCTGACACGGATAGTCATTAATTTAAGTCATATTTTCTGGGGTTTCTGGCTCTCAGCAAAGCTGTAATTTAATAGCACATAACAATCTTTTGTCAACACATTTCTCATCTGATTCCTCCTCATGTTGCCCAGAAATTGAAGATGAGACTGAGAAAGCTGCCCAGATTAGAGCCATTTTTTCTACTTTCCCACGGCCTCTCCTCATCGTGATGCGATACCTTTTCGCTTTCCTCAACCAGTAAGCTGAATCCGAGTTTTGGATGTTCTCTTACTAATATCCACCAATGTTTTGAAACTACTGGTCACTGTGCTTTGGTTTGTTTGTTTTTTGTTTGTTTTTTTGGTCACAGCGTGTCTCAGTACAGTGACGAGAACATGATGCAGCCCTACAACTTGGCTGTTTGCTTCGGTCCGAGCCTGCTGAGGGGGATGGAATCTGACGACGCCGTTGCTAGGCAACCACAGGTCAATGATCTTGTTAAAACCATGATCCTTCAGCATGACAGCATCTTCCCCGGCCAATCGGAACTGCCAGGTCCGGTCTACGAGAAGCACATGACACTGGAGCAGGAGTACTGGTGAGCCCTGAGTGACAATATGACAATGGGTCGTCGCTCTGCATTTTAAAACAGAAAAAAATCCCCAACTTTTGTTTGATTTTACAAGTCTTCGTTTTACACATCAGTACCTGCTTTAAAGGATGTGTCCAGCTTAGAATATTTCTCTCAAGTTTAATTAGTTCATATAGTGTGCTTTTTATTACTGTATAATTTATGTGTAGTGTAACATAATCCAGGCTTGATTGATTTAAGTATTTTAGTATTTAATTTGATCAAACACATTGTAAACTCATTTAAAAAACTAACTCTTTCGTGTTATAGAGTAAATGGACTGACCACTGTAAGTGAAAAATTTGTGTATGGATTATCTGATTGCATATCATCCATTTAATCTTCTCCTGTTGTCTTTGCTTCCACAAACTGTTTTATAATGGCTACATTTTCAAAGCAGCTGCTCTCACTCACATTTTTTAATACTTTCACCAACAGAAAAGACTAAAAGTGGTCCATGTAATTAACCAGTGATTGGTATCTGCCTCCCCTGCTACAGTTTTGTTATTTTATTTTGAAGTTAGAGACACTGGGTTGAACAGTTCCAAATGTATAGAGCAGCTTTCCTCTCTGTCCCTTTTTCATAGTTCATCATCTTAAAACAAAATTTCACACTGAAGCTAAAAGGCATATTGGTGGCACTCACATGCTTTGTGTAAATACAAATAAGCTTGTTACTCACTTAAGCTGAACACAAGCCTGCAGCTTCTCAACTATGTGTGCTGTGCCAAAATGGAGAAATCACTAAATCATTCTTTCTAATTCTAAGCCTTGCGTGTGATGCTGCATAATCACATTGTCACAAGTTAGGACTGTGATGTTGTAGTTCTGGTTTCCGTCTCAACCAGTAGAGGAATTGAGTTTGACCACCTACTTTCTATTTTTCTGCTTGTGTGCAGTGAACCAATCACAGAGGAGGGAGACGGAGAGACCGAGCATCTGCCCAGTGAGGACGGTTGGTGCACACACTAACAGCACGCCAGGCATCAAAAGAGCTTCCACATAGATGCAACAAAAATGATTATCTCAATCAAATTTGTTGTGATTTATTTTGTCCTGTAGAGTGGGAGGCAGTAGCTTTGTTTGACTACGCAGCCAGATCTCCAGCAGAGCTTTCCTTCAAGCAGGGAGATCCTATTATCCTTTACAGCAAGGCCTCGTGTGATTGGTGGAGAGGCGAAGTTGGAGGAGTTAAGGGTCTAGTCCCACACAAGTACATCAACATACTTGAAGTGTAAGTGATCTTTATGTGTCAACAATTCTGGCTGGCTTTGCAAAGATGATATTTGATAAAAGAGATTGTGTTTCCGCACGGCATTTAATGTGAACCATTTGAAAAGCTGGTAACCTACATGTGCCAGGGCAGCTTCACTTTAGTGGAGAGATACTGGAGATGGAGATGGCATCCTAAATGCTTGATTGGGTTGCATTTGGCATAAAAGTAGTCAGGTTAATAAAATATAAAGCAGTGTTTGTATGACCTTCAAGCTGTTGGGTGTGTGTGCAGGTTTAGACTGTAGCATTTCCAATCACATTGTTCTTGTCACACCAGTATATTTACTTGGTCAGTTTTTATCCCACTCTCAAACTTTTGTTGTTTCATCTTTTTCTCATAAAACATGAAACAATATGCTTTATATATATATATATCTCCCTCTGCTTCTCCTCCTCTAGGTCAGAGCGAGGGAAAAGAGATGAAGGTAGAGTAGGCGGAGGCAGCACTGGAAACCTATCAGCAGAAGACCCACATACGGAAAACACAACAAGGTATGCACACGAATGCAAAATACTCATGCTCAAGCACACACACTCTCACTCAAACACACCTATGAATGCAATCACAGACAGCTTAACAGTTGTAATGTGAATAGATTTTACAAATCAAGGAATCTGAGGCTGACCAAAACTCTTACACAGACAAAAAAATTAGCAAAATGAAGAACACCTTCAGTTCTCATCATTGTACATCCATACAAGTCTTCAAGCCTACAAACGCTAGCAGACACTAACCAAAGTCTTACCATTTTGGCGTGTCTCGACAGGATGCGGGTAAACAGCGATAGTGCTTCGTTGCCAGGGAGACAGAGAGGAAGTGAGGGGAGCCCGAGTCAAAAACCACAAGCTTCCCCTGCCACAAGACAACAAATACCAGTGTAAGACTGCACACCTCAGGCACACACCAAACTCTGCGTGTGCTTAGCACGGTTCAAATATTTGCAGAAGGATGACACTGAGATAGATTCAAGTGAATTCAGAGAGAAAAAAACAGAAAGTCTAGAGACATTTAGCCAATTTGGTCAGACTCAGTCATATCTGTGCAAAGCAACAGAGAGTGCCAGGATTACATAACAGCCTGAATTTAAGTGGATAAGACAAAGCAGAGCATCAATCTAACAACGCCCGGCGCAGGATGTAAGAAAAGGTGGAACCAACCTCTGTCCACTCTGTTCACAAACTACAGAGTCCCAGATGTGACCTGAAATACCACACAGATTACTGGATGAAAAGGCAGAGGGCAGGAATGGTAAATTGGATTAAGTGTAGACTGTGTTGTAATTTCTAGTTTGACCACGTGGTGGCAGAGATGTCTTACCGTCATGACTCCAGACAAAATGAGCATTTAGAATTACATGAATTTGAGGATTTGGGATTCATTTGTTAAATTACATTCAGATGGTAGTCGTTTGACAGGTTTTGAAGGTCATTCTAAGTCATAGTGAACCTTATTAACCATTGTAAGATGGTAAATTTGCGTTTTATCAAAAAGTACTTCTGTTTTTTTGTTGTTGTACCTCAACATTAAACTAAACAAGTAATATTTTAATTAAGCAAATAGATTTGTGAGAATTTTAATGGGACAGTGATGTCTTAATCATTGTAGATTTAAAAACTTTAAATATTTTTTCATGTATATGTTTGATTTATTAAATGAATGGCCTCCTGTTTAGAAATTCTTTTAGAAAAAATCTCATTACCGCTAACTAAAAAGTTAGCTACTTAAACCTAAAGCACTAATTAGTTCCATTAGCACTAAAGCACTATGCCAACATTTTAGTTAGTGGAAGCTAATGCTAAAGTTGTAAAATGCTAAAGGTTGATAACCACCATGTCACAAGGAGAATGTGAGGAGGCTCTAAACAATTCATATTTTTGCATACATTTGTTTGATTAATACCTCCTGATTGCACACTTATTTGCTCAATAAAGTTTATTCACCCACTTCGAAATAAGAGCATGAATATAAACACCAAACTCTGAAGAATTCTTAACCTTCATCAACCAAAACTTTGACACAGATGTTAAATTGTATTCAACTGAAAGTTGCCAAGTAAAGTAATGCTGTAGAATTTATCTGGAAAACTTAATTTAGATTAAGCTAACAGTGCTAAATGCTTTTAAAGTTAGCAAATATGTTAATGCGCTAAACAAACAAAATTAGCTCCTCTATTAGTGAATTAACTCTTGGCTGCTGCTCCTCTCAATGTTAGATTCAGCACTCAAAGAACAAACAGACGAGAAGCTCTGTGCTGTGATGACTTGGGTTATTTTTCACCTCTCCTCCAGGTCTCAGGAACGGAGACACACTTTGGACACTGTAAGGCAGGCCAGCTGCAGAGTCCCAGACAAGCCTCCATTTGTTACAGCAGAAAGACCAACAGTTGACAAGGTAATTGTCCTGCTAAGCTAGATGCTATCAACATCTACATCCTGCCTGCTGCATAAATGAACATATTCTAGAAATGCTTTTAAACATGAAGGTTAAAAAGCCTATATTTGTCTTTTTTTTTTTTTTTTTTTTTTTTTTTTTTTTTTCACAAAATGTCCACAACAGAAAGACACGTTTTAATTGTATACTTCCAAACAAATATTTGTTTTATCAGGCTGCAAATTACATGTTCTTTTTTAATTATTAATTAATTTGGAGTGCATCATAGTAGAAAATATCATTTAAGACATTATGTTATCTGCTTCCCCCCTCTTGTTCTCACACAGGACATGATTAGCCGTCAGATGAACTCTGTATTTAAGGAGCTCCTGTCCCGTCAGCCTCCTGTGCAGTCGTCTCCCTTCCCTCCTTCTGTCTCCGCCACTCCTTCCTCCTCCTCGTCTTCCTCGATTGCTCCAACTGCCCCCTCGGCTAAGAAAGTATTTGGCCTGAGAAGGGCAGGCCCTTTTCAGTCCGGACTGAGATGAAAGCATGAAGAACTGTGGAATAATAGGTTCATTGTTTGAAAGTGAAGATCTTGAATTTTTTCCCCCCCTTTTTTCTGTTTTATGGACAACAATAATTGCGTGTGCCATCTCATAGTGCCACTAGTCTTGGTGCCGTGTAGGTGTATGTCCAGTGTGTCTGTTTTTTCAAATGATTTTTGTTCAGCTTTGTTTTGCTCTCCTGGCTTTTACACCTTTTTTTTTTTTGAGAATCAGGGATGTGGATTCACCAGTGATATCACCAGAAAAACTGTTTGGTACGGTACTGAGTGTACGTGAACAACAAGAAAATACTTAAGCTGCCCCCTAGTGGCAGGTCTGAGATCAGCACACCCTAATGATTTGCTCTAGAAAACTGATCTGGGTCCTGTGCCTAGGAGTGCCTTTGCGTCTTTTTTGACGTTTTTCACTTGAAAACACCAGATAAGTTTAGACTTTGTTTATGAAATTAAAATGTGTACTGGTATGATGTCAATGAGCCCAAAAGTGAATTATTAAAAAGAAGAAAAAAAACCTAAAAAACACAAGTCATTTGAACCTTTGCCAACAACTCTATTACTTTTTCATAGTACATTGATGATCACCTTTTAAAATTAATTGAAAACTATCTTTAGTCCTTCATGACTTATTGCTGGTAAGCCACTGGGCTCATGCTACTTTTGCGTAACTTTGCTTTTAAATGGTGCCTTCAAATGGAGCCATGCTTGTGGTATTCACGAGTTCTTTTATTTCTACACATTATTTTTCATGAGCATAAATATACATAAAATGTGTTTAGGAATAAAGTTATCCAGAATTGAGTGAAACTGAAAAAAAGAGTAAGAGATAGAACACATAAAAGTGTGGACAAATGTCAACCAGACCTGAGCAGTTCTTCCATTGAGAAAAAGTTATTCCTATACACTTATTTATGTTTGAAATGTTGGGTTTATACTTTTAATCATTTCTTTTGGTAGTCAAGAGAACAGGTTCAGGCATGAACTAGGTAATAAGGATGTGATATTAATATCACTACTGATATACTACTTATATTGCTTCTGAAAAACCTACAAAATCTATTTAATGTAAGGAAATTTTTCACCTGAATAACTTTTGCCAGGTTTATGTGATTTTCTGCTCCCTGTATAGTAAAATGTTATCCAGCTCAATTTCTGGAGTCAAATTTGCATGCTTTGATTGTGAACTCACTAGATTCGTAATAGAGACAAGTTAAAATGGTTTCCCACTTTGCTTACACTCAACCACTTAACTCCTGTAAACCAGTACATGATACTAAAAACCAAAACGTGAAATAAACCCACTGGAATTGCCAATAAATACAGGACACAGGCACAGGAAATACCATTCTTATTCTTTTAATTTGTGCTTTACAGTTAAGCTGTTGAACAAGCTAGGCTTGCATAGTTAATGGTAAAACAAAGTGTAGAATTAACAATAATAACTGGCATATTTGGCTTTAGAATCATAAACATTATTGTGTTCTTTAGAGAATTTTTATCATCAGTCAATGCAAAAGTAGCTAGCCAGCTACCTTGTTAGCATAGTATTTTTACATTTTTGCTGTGCAGTTCCCCTTGCATCACATTCATATCAAGTTTAGTATCTGAAATATTTATATATTTTTTTGCAACATTACATGGGGTACACAAATCAAAGGGTATTATTTTATTCCTGTTGCTCAGAGCAAAAATTTTGTTTGTGGCTATTTGGTTTGCTAAATTAGGAAGCTAACACTGGGGTCTGACCACACTACTGTCATTTAACATCAGCTACATAGTGCATCACAAATTATTTTACGTATTTTATTCAAATGAGTCTGTTGATAGCGTTGTTCTTTAAGGTTCCATTTTAAATGAGGAAAACAGTATTGTTTTTACATACGGTGGAACATACAGACTGAAAACACATTCCCCTCTATATGTGATGAAAGGCCTAAATATGAGGCCAAAACTCAGGGCTTTTGCAGAGTTAAAGATGGGCTAACTCAGGTTTAGCTTTGATAGAATAAGTATGAGTTTCTCTCTCAGGTCTTTGGTTGACTTATGGTGACTTCCATTTGAACTTCAAAGTCGGACTTACTCCGTTACCCAAATTTCGCCTGGAACGCCCTCTGCTTTGACTGGGTTTCTGATGGGAATTCGTTGAAATCTAACAGCTCTCTAACACAATGTCCAGGAAGGGAGCTCTGTGCATGAAAACCAGTGAACAGTGATTTATTTACTAGGGTCACTTATGTTCATAAGCATCTTTTACAGAGTATTGACCAGTTTTTTTCTTGCAGTCCTAGCATTACCTAAAATGTTTACCTTACATGGCTTGGAAACACCATTGATTTTTCAGGCGTGTTTGGCTTGCTGTGGAGTCAGGTCAGATGTTTTGCCTTTATCTGCCATCTCTTCCAACCTTTAAGTCAAATGAAATGCACTGTTACCCTTCAACTTGAAACTGTGCCCCTTGCCTGAAGAGCCAAAATGGTCCCTATATCAGAGGTGTCAGTGACTTGCTCTGGTTTAAACTGTGAAACCAATATTGGCATCTTGGAGCCATAAAAGAAACTTTTTTTTATTTTATTTTTTTTATCTGCCACTCGTTTTGGTCCCTGTTGGCATTTAAAACAGTCTAATGCACTGGTTCAATTCTAACGTACTTCTGAATTTGATTTTTAAAACGTATATTGAATCATTTTTACATGTGTAATTTCTTCACTGTCCTTTTACACTCATGTAAAAATAGAAGTAGAGTCTTTGTTTTGAAATGATTCTTCTTCTGTGGTTAAAACATCTTGATATTTTGGATCACTGTTTGATGATGTTATTAAGTTTACTGTGTTCAACTGTATATGTGGGTAAGAATTATGAATACAATAAAGACGACAAAGAAATTGATGATTCAAGTTTTGGTGTTTATAGAGTGTTTTCTTAAGCAGGCACAGTATAATGAGTTTGAACATGTAGATATAAATTACACAACAACTTAAAACCTAGCAAGACATTAATTTTAGCATGATTCTTTCATACTACAATTTTAGTATGAAAATGTTTATATTATTTATATATAAAAAATGAAATGCCACAATCTTTGCTGTATTTTCTGTATTTTAACCAATTCTTTAAACAGAAAGGGAAGATGGTTTGAAGAAGTTAATTTCCACTTTGCTCATGTCTAAAATCACAGATATTCTCTAATATTTCACTTTTGCACTGTTTCTGCATTGTGTTTAAAATGAGACAGTAGGTGTGGCATTGTTTCAGTTTCTGTGTTAAGACCGCTCCCCCACTGAAATGTGATCTTTTGGACCCATCCACTCCTCCTCCTAAAATAACCCCTTTCCCCTACAGCCAACCAAGACCCAGACACAAGAAATAAGTCATACAGTACCACATTAGCACTTATATCACTCTAAAGACAGAGTAGAGCACTGTTGATGTTGGTGTGCTTGGTGAATATGGCAATATAATCTCTGAAGGGCTAGGTAATCAATCTGATGATCTTTGTGACATTTTTGATTAACTTGCTGCAGTCTGTCCCGTCTCTCTGCAAAAAATCTGTCTTTACTGATACAGGACTAGGAAAGCATTTAAGTGAGGTAAGTAAGAAATGGTTTAAACATATTAGAGATTTAGCAGATCTACTTTGATAGTTACTCAACAAGTCAAGAAATTGTATCGCCTCATCTTGTATCCTGTTGTGTTTTTGTAAACATATATTTTAAATGTTGGTATGTTCAAGAAACCCCAGCTTTGACACTGCTATTCAAAACTACAATGTGATATGTGATCTGAATTCTATGCAACTTTTCTAATGATACGAAACGACTGCAGCATATGCAATCATCTAAAGAAATCCATCCTAAAATCACCAGCTGCTATTTACAGATTTTGGTATGACATCTTTTTGGGGGGCTAAAACAGGTGGTAGTGCAGGGCTGAGCTTGCTGTTACAGCCTATGAGAAGTGTGTGTGTGTGTGTGTGTGTGTGTGTACAGTTCTGCTTATTCTCTCAACCCATCCAAGCAATAAACAGTTGCTTAGAACAGATAAATGTGTGGATGTGTCATAACTTTGTCCTGCTAAATAGAAACAAAGCTGAAGTTATTATCTTAGAACCTAAAGAGGAATGATCTAGTGTCAACACACAGCTTCTGTTATTACAGCTGGAAACTAGAGATCAGGCCCGAAATCTTGGTGTAGTGATGGATTCTGACCTGAACCTTCAGAGCCACATAATGTATGTTTTTTGCTCTAGCAAAGATGATGATGGTGAGCGATGACTGTCTGGTAGAGTGTAAGATTGATGACAGTGATGAGGAAGAGGTGAACACTCCTCCTCCTCCACCAGAATTTGCATCGAAAGCTTCAACTCCAGCTCCAAAAGACCCAACTCCTCCCGCAAATTCTCCGAGTCCCGCTCCGACCCGACCTGTCAACAGAGACCCACATGGCATCAACCAACACCTTAAGGTCAATTGGTCAGTCGGTCGGCTCTTCTTTCCTTCCGACTCTCCTTTCTCCAACATAGCAGTGAACCTGTTTTGTCATAAATTTCTCAGTTCATTTGTCTCATGTGGAGTACCTCAAAGTTTGTCCTTGGTTCCACTTAAATTTGAATCACTAGCTGCGTTTCCATTACAAATGTGCACAAATCTTTGTTGCTATTCTGCTTTCCTTTCATCCTATTGCAAAATCTCTTTATAGAAAAACTTAAGTGTTTTTTTAAAGTTGGTGTGCTTCTATCAAGCATTTTTTGTCATTTCAATTTTCACAATTTTATGGTTAATGCTACTGTCATGTTTTGGTTGAGTTGTCTCGAAAAACAGAGCATTTCTCAGTTTCATGCATCTGTTACACCTCTGTTTCCATCAGTTGCTGAGCCTATCCGATGTGGTGTAACTTCAAAACTCTAAACTTTGTCTGATGTCAATTTTAAATTTACTCAGCTCGGTTTATTTTAACAAACTAATCAGGTTGCACTAGAGTTATTTGGGGGAATCTCCCTAAATCTGACTGAACTTCTGAGTCCTCATACAGCCTGTCCAAACGCAGTGAGTGCTTAAAATACAGTAACTTTTTCATGCTATGTTCAACGTTGTGTTGTCAGAGTAAGACAATATCGATGTATTTCTCGGATCAGATGGACACCAGAAGGCTTCCTGCTGTCTACTATGCTTTTTTCTTTGAGACATTACTGTCACCCCTTACAACTCTTAGAGTTCACTGGATCACTGGAGCATGTTTATGTTATGATGTAGCTTCATCTATACTTAAAACTAGGCTTTTTGCAGGTTTCTTTTAGTATATCAATTGAGCTACTTTTACAGATTAAACATTTTCAGCAAGTGTTCAGTCAGAGTTGACTAATTCCAGTTGTCAAGAAATGTCCTTCATATTTTAGATGTTTTCCTTACCCATCCCCCTGACTCAAAAGAATGATTCCAAAGCATATGTAAAATCAGGATATCATTAAGCAATTTAATTTCAGAATCAGTTAACACTGAAATAATGAAAAAGAAAGTACATAAAAGACAGATATATTTTTCTAATAGAATACATTTCTTGTTTGTCTTCTGTAGGTGGAGGTCAGTGATGTTCTGGCTGAACCTGCCACTCCTCATAGTATAGGTGGTGTGTGGACTTACAGTCTGGTTGGCTTTGAGAGGACTCGCATCTGGACCTATCGCTGCCTCTCCTTGCTGTTTGCTGTGCCTCTTGCTTTCCTGTGTGGACTCTTCCTAGCCATCCTCGCCTGCCTACGCGTCTGGTATGTTCTGACCAAATCAGTCATTCAGTGACACATTCGATTCCTCACTCACTTAACATGCAGCTATCGAAAATACAAGTGACAACAGTCTAAAAATATATATTTATTTATATTTCATTGTTTCAAACTTGCTTGCTTAAGTTAGAGGATCAGCTTGTTGCTCAGGAAATTTAAACGGCAACAATCAGACTCCATGCTGGTTTGGCTCACTTTTACATTGAACTGAAGTATTTTAAGGATTTAAAAGTATTCAGATCTTATATATGTCCGTAAATCACATGTACAGCAGACATATCCCTTCTTTTCTTTGATGCAATTAATACTCCAATTCCATTTTGCCACTGTAAGCATATTCCACATCCTCAAGCAGACCAGATTTCCGACTTTGGGTCGGTACCAGAGTATCTACCTGACCTAACAAAGCAGACTATCCTAACAAAATGTCATCCATTTAGACCAATTAGACCATCTGTTACTTATGATTTATTTTCTGATGTCTTTTTTTCTCTCTCCAGGTTCCTGGTTCCCTGCATACAGCTGAGCAACACCTTCCTGCCCTGCTTGCGCTCCTTGTTTATATGTGCTGTGAACGTCTTCATCTCCCCCTTCTGTATGTCTCTGGCGCTCTGCTGCACACAGATCTCTATCTCACTGTCCAACAAAGACTTGGATCGAAAGAGAGACAAAGACACTGTGTGAATGTAAAGAAAAAACAAGGAATCTTGATTGAGAAAGTGTGTGAATGGGAAGTAGAGTGCTTTTATTTAAATGCACATGATTTTTTTAATTCTAAGTTTTAAAATGTTTGCAGTTATTTTATTTAAATAAATTATTTTGATAAGTCTTGTGAAGAAATCTGTTCTTAATGTACTGACCCATTTTATTCTTTTTTTTAAATCACTGATAAATGTATGATTATAGGCTTTGTATGATCTTGATAGTTTGCATTTTGATTTTGTATTGGTTTAAGGGAAATAAATTTTAGCTCCGGTCAATTTGTATACACAAACCAACTAGGAAAACTCTCTTTTTGAACAAAATAGTAAGCCAGGAAAAAGCTACTCCGGCTGTGTTTTACTTACATATGAAGTTCGAACTTCAGATGTAACATAAGAATAACGTCAAACTTAACTCAACCATGTTCCAGCTCCTAGTAATGTGACTGACTGCTATTAGCAAAGCAAGGTAATAATATTAGTTTCTGTGTTATACATTTTATCAACATGTTCACTAGTTTGTGACTTTTAAAAAGTGTCTTAACTCTTGGCTGGCCTTACGATTTTTAACATTTTAAGTAAAACTTTATTGGAAGTGTACTGTATCATAGTAAATGTCACTGATTAAAAACCAACGTTTAATTTGAAGGTGTAAATCCACTTCTTCGGCTATCCTGGGGTTGGGAATGGCGACTTCTCCCTGACCAATATGGCAGGTGCGACAACGCGTCTCGTCTTCTTTCTAAACTACCCAGCATGCCCTGCGCCGTTGCCATTTTTCTTGTTATGGTGGACTGTCAGAAGAGTCTTCGCAGTTCTGGAACAATCTTTAGTTAAATTCGTATATTGAACGCCTTTATTCGCTGTTTGTTTGTTATTATTCATTCCGAGGGAGCTTCGAAGATAAAGATACCGACATGGCGCAGTACAAAGGAGCTGCCAGCGAGGCGGGCAGAGCCATGCAGCTAATGAAAAAACGAGAGAAAGAGAGGGAGCAACTTGAACAGCTCAAACAGAAGATAGCAGAGGTTTGGAACATTTTAGATGCACGTGCTTACGGAGAAATGCTCCAGTCATTGTTGGTGTGATTTACTTCTGCTCACTCAAGTAACTAATAATAAGAGTCACCTATCAGTTACTTGTTTGTTCGCAGTTACAAGTAACAGTTGGAATAGTTTTCTACCATAGAGTTATGCTTCATACCTGGTTTTACGTCCTATTCAAAATGGTATCGAAAATTCTACGTATAATTTAGCTACAGTAAGCCATGGAAGGGCGTTATGTTAAGTTTTCAAAAAATGATATACAGCTGGATTAAATCAAAAATATACGTGCAAGTTGGACATTTCCAAGACTGTACATTAAACAAAAAATAAAGATGCACATGAATATTAAATTCTTTATTGCAGTGACGTATGGTGAGGCTCTGACTCCTCTGGAGTCTGATGTACAAATACAGAAAACTCAAAATGTTACCATTTTGACCTTAATTGAAATATTTAGTTGTTCCGATTCTATACTGTCTAGCTATACAGTGTTAATAAAATAAAAAATCAAATTAGATTGTTTTTATTTAAATATTTTTTGGTGAATCTCAGTATTTTGAAACTTATTAAAAATTGTGTATGATCTTTATTTACCTTCGCGGTGTTGTAAAAGTCATCCTTGTTAAATGTTTTCAGTGCGTTCAATGCATAGAAGAAGATCTCCTGTAGGCACTTGTCCTTCTTGAACTCAGCACTGCCCCCTCTCAGTGCAGTTTGGTACTTTCTGCTATGCAGAGAGCATTTTCACAGCATCAGGCACGGAGCTATAGGGGGGCTGGGGGGGCTGCTGCCCCCCAAACCGGGCCGGATGGGGGCCCGGGCCTGGAGGTGCCAGGGAGGGAGAGGGAGGAATGGTTTCAAGTCATTGAAATATGTGATTATAGACAGAGAAAGTGCGCCCTCGCCTGTTGAGAAGGGTGTATTTAATATCCCCCACCCCCACCCCTCTCAACAGTTTCAGTTTCACTCCACGTAAGGGGCCCGGTGATTCCTTAGGGGCCCGGTTATGGGTTAGGGGCCCGGTAATTGGCCCCTGGCCCGACGCTGACTTGTTCCGCTAGTGCACAGCATATTTATGACAGATCAGAAAGGCCATATATCACAAGTTAGACAGTCAATTAGATTTCATATGTGTGTTGCACATCAACATGTGCAGCACACATATTGATGTGAGTGAGTGAATTAGTGCTCTAAGTTTTGGAATTTTTGGGTCAATCAGTGTTTGATTTTTATCTCTTTGTCTCTGTCTTGGTGGATTTTGGTTGTTGCAGGACAATATGGTCAAATCCAACATTGACAAGAAATTCTCTGCCCACTATGATGCCGTGGAAGCAGAGCTAAAGTCCAGTACTGTTGGTAAGTATGTTTGACAGTTTTACTGACATTATCTAAAGAGCCTTAGTAATAATAAGCAAAGGTGTTTATTGTTTTCTTCTTTCCAAACGTTTTGTTTTTCAATGTCTGAAACAGGCCTGGTGACCTTGAATGACATGAAGGCCAAGCAGGAGGCGTTGGTAAAGGAGAGAGAGAAGCAGCTGGCCAAGAAGGAGCAGTCCAAAGAGCTGCAGCTGTGAGTGAAAACAGTTTGATTTAAAAGATGCCAGTCTCTTCTGATCAGTCTGATGTCTGAGCCAAAATAACTTCACTCAGGTATCAAATGGACTTAATTAACTGGCCATCAACAATTCCAAGTTGGAAAGATCTCAGCAATGACTGAAGAGAAATAAACTTTGCTACCCATCAAACTTGGCAAATGTTCCAAACAATCAAAAGTCCATAATTTCACTAAAGGCTATTCACAAGGGATGGACAATAAATCAGTAATAATATATATTGCAATAGACACTTGATCACTAACAATGATATTGATCATTGATAAGTTTAGCCGCTCATTCTCTCTATGATGGTAGAGTGCCACCATTTTGTAAAGATTTCCAGAACATCCCAAAAATTCTCAATGGGGTTTAATATCCGTACTGCGTTCTGGCTGATCTTTCACAATCCATTGACGGAAGAACAAGAATCTTTTTGCTGCTAGGCAACAGTGCTACTAACTATATTCATGCTGCTTCTGCTTCTGCTGTGGTTGGGTTCTCTCGCCCACAGCAGGAACACAAACATTTTATATGTCTGTTATGAAGTGTTTGCTGCTGTCTGATCAGCAGAAAACACTTCATTACCAGCTGTGTTGAAGTGTCTGTCTTTATGGAGTGGTTGAGAAAATCCGCCGCAACTAAGACCCAAACACAGCAATCAGCAAGCCTTCAACCGAATGACTGACTGAAAAACAAGAATCTAAGTGTTGAAATGGTTCAAAGTCCAAACCCTAATTCAGTTAAAAAAAAGTTTTGTTGTGACCCCAAAGTAGCTCCATGGAAACAGATGTCTGAAACTATGTGAGAAACTGATAAAGTCTAACAGAAAATCTACATGTTTTGCTGCTAATGATGGCTCTACAAGCTATGGAGGGAATGCACTTAGTTTTTTTCCACACAGCTTATCTTTTCCATTTTGACTTTATCTTTATTTAAAATGTAGTTATAACAGCATTAACCAGAAACATGTAAATGCTACATTGTTTTAGCCATATCCTGGTGTATTCTGCAGAGGTCGCCAAATATCCATGTTTCGTTTGTGGTTGTTTTCCACCTTCAGTCTGCAGATTTCTAAAATCATTCAGGGTGAATACTAACAAACTTATATACTGATTAATTATTTCCCTTCCCAAAAAGAGGTGACAATTATTTAATTAAACAACTAAATAACTTTGGAACAATTACATTTTTCCAGTAGACAGAATAGCTTAGAGTCTTTTTTTCCTGTTCCACAGATCTGCATACACTCATTCACTTTTTTCACTTCCGATACCAATACCTTAGGTTTAGTATTGGCTAATACTGATCTGATACAGAAAAACAGTTCTAAATTGACTTAATTTTTTTTTAACACAGATGTAAATGTACTGAATTACAAATTTATTTGATAACTCTGCACCAGTACAGCACACATAAATACATCAACAGCTTCATGAGCTTGACATTGTCAGCGATGCAATTTCTTTCAATATTGGGACCGATACAGATATTAATATTGGATTGGTGCATCTTTTGTGTGGAGTTATAATCATACTCAAAATAACAGTGGAAAAATCACATTACAGGCTGATCCAACGTCAGCAGAAATTCTTCTAGACAAGTCAGAACAAGGCTCAACGGTTTGTGTGGCCTCCATGTATGAGCGCTATACAAAGCCTGACCATGCTCCTGATGTTCTCCTGAGGAATCTCCTCCCAGATCTGGGTTACAGCATCAGTTGACTGCAGGACAGTCTGTGGTGGACGGACTGAGACATGATGTTCCAGCTGTGCTCATTCAGGTCTGGAGTGCCACCACAGACCGATCAATAGCACCAACGCCTTCATTATGCAGGAACTGCTGACACACTTCAGCCCAGTGAGACCTAGCGTTGACATGCAGCAGGAGGAACCCAGGGCCTCAGCGATGACTTGATTTTATTGATTAATAACATTTTTGAAGATTTAATTTTTAGAAAATCTGGATTTTCTAAAAATTATTTCCCTTCCCAAGTAGAGCATTTTTACCAATGCTCTACTTGAGTTTCCTGACTTCAAGTTACATTGTGTTGTTTAGATGTTTCCTTTATTTTTTGAGTAGTCTATTTAAACAAGATATAGATTTAACATTCTGTAATAACTAAATCACTCTCCTGGTTTTGCTGCTTATTGAGCTTTAGAGGAGCAAATTAACTTGTTTTTTTTTAGAATTATTACCTTCTCTCTAATATTGGCCTGTTTTTAAATGGAGTTTTCTTTAAATTGCTTTGAATTTAATTTTGAATTTATTTATTCATAATAGCATTTCTGTAAATAAGTATTTTAGTTGTTGTCTTTGGCTGACTTTGCTGGAGTTTACAACCAAAGGAAAACATTTCAGTCTCCTTAGCATCTTCTGTCCCTGAAATAGTTCCCCTCAAATCATTTGAATATATTTCTCAAAATCCAGGATCAGGATGTTAATGCATGTTCTTTTGGAGTCCTTGGAGAGCTTTTTAGGTCTGGGCCGGATTTCAACCCATCTTTCATCTGCTTGAAAGAAATCATGATTTACCTCCTACCTCATAGAAATGTAGTAACCATTGGCTTTAAATATGAAGCCCTTCATTTATACACTTTTGAAATTATATGTGCAATATGATGGATGACTGCTAAAAGAATTATTGCCATTCATTGTGTTTGTTTTATCCAATAATATATCTGCTTTGACAAAACCACTGGATTTTTAGTAGAAGTAGAAATGTTAAGGGATTTAAATTGGAAGCAGACTCACAGGAAGACTTGGGTTTTTTGGCCAAAAGGCAGGACCATTTGTTTTACTCAGCTATCAGAAAGGCTTCAATACAAATATAACCTAAACAGCAGATATAGGCATTTGATACGACTGTTTTCAATCTGAACTGTTCCTCCAG